AAGGTCTCCTCCCTCTTGTGACCTTTTGACCCTCACTGCTCTACTCAATTTTACATGGTTCATATCTAACCCATACTTACATTAGGCATAAGGTCCCCTCCCTCTTGTGACCTCTTGATCCTAACAGCCCTACTGAACATGGTTTATATCTAACCCATACTTACATTAGGCATAAGGTCTCCTCCCTCTTGGGACCTCTTGACCCTCACGGCTCTACTCAACATGGTTCTGATCTGTGCTACTTGGTCTTTTGAGGCTCCAGGGATATCTATGTCATCAGATTTGTCTGCCATTCTCATCAATAGGTCCAGCCAATTAGATTCAACTAGTTGACTCTGGTACTGAGTAAATATATAATAATAATTATACATTGTACTAGTTATGTGATGGTTTAAAAATAGCCTACCATGGTCTATTCCACGAGGCATGCATATTTTCTAGCATACACAAGCATCTCCATGGTGAGCAAATAGTATATGAGAAAATACAAAACAGTAATCAACTGCTTTATTTACTGCTTATTTACTACTTCCTTTACTTTCCTTTCACAGTATCTAAGCCTCACATTTTCTTTCTTGTTTGTTTCTTTCCAAGCAATAAGTTTCACTCACAGTACCACCTTTTCTGGCCATACAACACCATGAGCTTAGTCTCACTTCCTCCCTTCGGCACATGCTCTGTTCTTAAATATGCCACTTCCCACCCCCAAGACTCACTCACCCATGCACCACACGCATTCCATGAATGTCACAAAACAAAAAGTGACAAGTTGTATATTCCATGGTTTGCATGTGAAAGCATTTTATCATTAATACGATTGAAATTTCCTACCATCAAATACCAAAAATAATTAATTTAAATTAGGATAAAAAATTTTTTAGGATCTTTGCAAAGAATACTAACCTGGTAATGGGTGCAGTCTGTTTGAAAAGATTGACTTTGGGCTTGAATCTGAAAAGACAAAGCATTAATATATATATTCATTACATGACCGTGAATCTTAGAGCCTGGACACTAGCAAATCGAGCAATCTGATTGGATAGATCGCATCACGGACTGGTCTAGATTCTCCGGTATTAACCGGTCCGATCGCATATTAATCTTACGGTGAAAACATTTTGTCCTTTTCAATGAAAAGTGGTCATATAATAAAACTTTTATCAACCGAGCTTGGTCTGTCTGTACGGGATAATCTTGACCTCGGTCAGGTACAGACCTCGGTCAAGATTATCCCGTACAGACCAACCAAGCTCGGTTAATAAGATCTAAATATATACACTCTGGGAGCTGTAGAGCACTCGAGAAGCAAGAGAAACACTTGGCTATGCCTTGTACATGTTCCTCAGCTTGCTCTTCTCATGCTCTACAGCTCCCAGCATGTTTATATCACAGTACAGAGACAAGGGATAGGGAAGGTCAGAGAAAGAAAAAAAGTTTGTATGTAAGAAAACTGGAATTTCTGGGGGTAGGGAGGGATCTGAAAAAAATTCCTCCATGGGTGGGAATGGATAATTTCTGGAACTACACATTTCCTAGCATATCATTTCTTTGTTTAATGGTTACAAAATGAGAAGACAAGAAAATATGGATACAACTAAAACAAAGATTCTTTATCTCAACTGAGAGAATGACAAATGGACTGGAATGAGAAAAACATTATGCTCTTGGAAGGTAAAGAGGTATATTGTTAAATGTCTAACCTTGTATCTGGGAGAAGGATAGCATGGAAAAGGTCCTAAGCAATTAAAACAGTTACTGGAGAATCTCTTGAATCGTTTTTCTTTATAGATACTTGGATTTCCAGGGAATCTGCAGGAGAAAGAAGCTGTAAGTTTCAATATTGCACTCTGATTGGTTAGAAGAGTGTGCATTATCAGAGCACACAGCATGCACACTCACTTTCCTCGTTGTGTCCAAAATAGCAGAGTACTCTTAAATTTTTGTTTTTAACCCTTTCACTACTAGAGGCTAAAAGGGTTCAACACAAGCTCTTCCTGGAACATAATTAGGGTGTTTTTTTATTTCTCAATATCAAAATGAAAAACATATACTCATTAGATATTGATGCCTTATAACACACATCAAAGCAGTTGATAGAATCTGATTAATGATCCAAAAAACAATAGCCCACGTGTTTCAACACATAGAAATGTCCTAGGGGACTGGTAATTGAAAAGCAAAAGTGTCTTTCCCCTGGCCGCTTTTGACCGCTCTAGTAGTGAAAGGGTTAATATTATAAAAGAAATTAAAAACTTGCTTGATGTGATGTACGCAGTTACAAATCACTACGAGTTGTATCTGCTTCTCCTAACAATTCTCTTGCATTCTGCAAATCCCTGCGTACTTCATAACTGCACATAGCATGCATTCATGTTTTCTATTTCTTCATTTATATTAAAATAATAGATTTTTTAAGAGATAAAAAAACTTGCTTAGAGTGCTTTTAGTCTCACTGTTGAATAGCTGACGTCACCTAAATTTGAAACTACGAGTAAACAGCCACTGAGATCAGGTTTAGAAACAATGATACAAATGAATATCTATTCACTCATTCTTTGGTAAAACAGCCCCCCGGATTAGCATGACCCATGTCATTTAGCGCGCTTTTACTATTTTAGGTGACGTCAACTAAATAGTTATCTAAGTCAGATAAATTTATCTGACTATTCAACAGTGAGACTAAAAGCACTCTACTGTGAAGTGTTCAGTCATAAAGCAATTATTGGTATTGTCAGAACAATGTAATGTAAAAGTGTTGAGAAGCACTGTGCTATGTACCATGATAGTCACTGATAACACTGACAGTCCTCTCGTATTTTGCCAATCCCTACATGTAAGGCATTATTTCCTGACACATGATATATTCTACCATTACATTATTATGCAATCAAAAGAGTGATGGTATACATGCTCAGAAATAGCTCTGTGCTCTCTTAGATAACAGAGAGAAATTCTGTCACCATTTGATGCCTTTGCAAAGAAATGCAAAGCAGAGCAGAACAGGGCAGAGCAGAGTTATACTGTAGTTAGTAAGCACAGGTTAATATTTCCATTGTTTTCTTTAGTGTCTAATATTATTTGACGACACGTTAACAAGCAATCATTGTTCGGCAGGTTAAATCAAATCACTGTATCATGGAATCGAAACAATAAATAAATTAACTACGATATTCATTGCTTCAGTTCATCAATCAAACTTCTGTTATTTTTTATTTTTCTGCAAAAGAAATTGAAACTCTCTTTACTTTTTATTTACTTTTTTAATAACGAGCCGTTCCCGATAAAAACGCGTGCAATACAAAGGTAAAAAATCCATAACTTTGTACTAAAATGCTGGCTTACCTTAGTAATTTTAAACATGATAGAAGGCGTTTCATCCCAGATTTATTCAACCAAAAAAACGTGTTTTTTTTACAATATTTTGATTTGTGCCGAGTCAAGTGAACTACAAGTAACCAACACAGCGGTAAACCTTACCACAGGTAGCCCAAAAAAACCTCCAGCCGAATAATAAGTAATAGATAATTAGAAGTTTTATCCTGGACTCTTTGAATAATTTGATACATTTGTGTATGAACTGGTGAAAAATTAGGAGTGTTTTAGTAAAACGCGAATATTTATTCCAAGGCCAGAGATTTAATTCGCCAAAAAACCACAGGAATCCCAAATGTTAATAATTGACGAGGACAGTGCACAGGTAGCCCAAGCTTGGTTTCTGTGGTGTCCTGCTATAAGGAAATGTATGGGGATTCATCAAAAATTGCAATAAAATCATTGAAACGTGAAATAAAGCCTCGAAATTTGACTCGATCTTTGAGAAATAGCACTTCTTTCGCTCTGTGTGGTTATTTTTTGAATTTAGTCCGTTTTAAGACCCCCCCCCCCCCCCCCAGTACACACTATTGTGGTCTCAAATAAAGAATAGTAAGAAAAGTTTTTTTTCTGATTTTATTTTCACATCTCACAATAATCTATATTGGGCTCCCTGTGGCCCATCTCTTTCCCCGTTTCTTCCCTCCATTCAACTAATAGACAGACATTGCATTTAATAAAACATTTATTTATTATTATTTTTGGAATATTTCTATAAAAAAACGCATGTTTGACTTAAAATATCTAGCGTAAATTTAATTTTTGTATTATTCTTTTATTCTTTATTTACAAGAATATATCTATACTCGTTGATGGATTATCTTGAAAATATTTCCTTAATATTATTTTGTAATTTATAGTTTTCGCAATTTTCATTTGAGTAGGAAACCCGCTTCAGTGTCACAGAAAGCCATGTCGCTGCTGATATGTTGCGTTTGAATGCCAGGAAAAACACTGGGAAGCCATTTCAGCGTTACAGTGTTAGACGTGCGTTGTTCACGTGCTTTCATGAAAGCAGAGCCTTGAAAGCCAATTTATAGTGTTACAAAAAGCCATGTGGTTATTAAATGTTGCGTTTGAATGCAAGAAAAAAGGATGGGAAGCCATTTTATTGTTACGGAAGGCCATTTTGTTACTATGCGTAAGTTAATGGGTCACTCAGTGCATTATAGCGTCATTTATTACCACTACCAGACTCCCTTGCACACTTTCTTTTGTTCAGTTAATTATTGTCTTACTATTCTCATGAGGAAATACAAACAAAAAAATAACGAAATTCGCAAAGCATTGTGGTAGTGCTAGTAAAATGACGTCATCATGCAAATGGCCTATTACATACGTATTTTTATGAGAGCACAGAACTTGAAAGCCCAACACGTCTTTACCTATCCTTCAAACGTGTGCTTCAGAAATTCTCCTTATTGTAAAAGAATTTCACGCCTTTTGTCTCGTCGTTTGATTGGTTGCACATCTTATGGAGGTCATGTGACAGACCCGACGGTCCACAGAAAAACACACCGATATTAGTGCTGGAAAGAAAACAGACAAACATAAGCAGATAATATCTTCCTCTATTATATAGACATCAGTGTTTTACCGAGAAGTGGCCACTCATATTTTTTTTCTTATACGACTGAATTACATCCGGGACCTCAGTGACATATTTTCCATATCCTCACTAGTGAAGATATCGATGACGTCTTTTCCAATGTTTTCAACAAGTTTTTGTGTGTGAATGTGTTTATATAATACAAACAAAATTACACGTTGGCTTGAAGATATGAAGTTATCTTCTCGTGTTGAAAAATAGAGGAGATAACTAGCTAAAAACTAGAGTGAGCTGCGTTGATGTTTCTAATGAAACAGTAATGATAAAAGGGTAAATTGTACACCGTGAAAAGATGAAAAAACTTATACTGACGTTTCGGACGTTAGTCCTTCGTCGGAGTAAAAGAGAAAGAGGTGGCAGAAAGGAGTGTTTATATACTGAGAACAAGACAAAAGAAAACAACGAGAACAAGGTGGGCAAGGAAACAATCGCTGCGCTCACTGGTGAAATATTTTCACCACTCAAAGATAAGCTTCATATCTTCGCGCCACCGTGTAATATATCCTCTATATATTAGAGAAGCATATAGTTAGGAAGGGATAAGAGGATAGAGCTAGGTTGGTAGGTGAATCTCAGTGTAGGTAGACTAGATATTTATGAACTCTTACTTATTATGAGCAACAGCTACACTCTTGAAGATGTCCTTCCAACCAGGTCTTCCATATTCGGTTCTCGAAAACAGTCCCGTGATAGGGTCCCGTTCTGCTGTTGGTTCTTCGAGCACGAGGCGTTTGGCCTGCAACAAGAGAAAACAATACTTAGCATGGTTTGAAATTGGAAACTAAAGATTGAACTAACGAATCAATAACGTACGTACGACGGACGAACGAACGAAGTGTAAATGCGCACGAAGGACAGACGGACGAATGAACGAAGTAAATGTACGAACGACGGACTGACGAAAGACGGGCTGACGAACGACGGACTGACGAAAGACGGACTGACGAAAGACGGACTGACGAA